TCCTTCTTGATATCCACCTCCTGATTAACTGAGGTTGTAGGCATGTACCACCACATCCAGCCTTCTGGGATCTGATTTCATTATGAGTATTTTCCTCAAATAATTTAGTATTTTTTCATAACATGATTTTTAATAGCTGAATTGTATTCCACTGCATGGATAGTCCATAATTTAATCAACCAATTTCTAGACAGATTTTCTTTATAAGGAATAATACTTTGATAAACATGTTTGCACACAAGTATTTGAGCTCATGTTTAAGTTTCCCTGAAAACTTTTCTAACAGACAATTATTAGGTAAAAAGGTATAAATGATGTTAAAGTTTTTGTTACCTTTGTTCACTTTCTGCCCAGAAAGATGATCTCGTTTACTGTCTTACCATAGTGTGCAAGGCCAGTCTTCTTGCCCTTCACCTTTTCAGTTTCCAGCTTCAGTCTCATTCTTCTCTAGTGTCTCTTAAATTCAGCTTCATTTCTTATTATTCCTGTCTCTGAGTTCACACTCACCGTTTTTTAGATTGCTTTTCCCTCCTGCAGTAAGTGCCTCTGACCTCACAACTTCTCTTTTAACTCTACCAGACTGCTTTACTGAATAACCGTCCTCTCCCCAGCTCAGTCCCTCTTCTGGGAGGCTGTTCAGCAATTGACATGGCTTGTGTATTAAATAAATATATTAATTTTTCTCAAGATTCCTGCCTATTGTCTTTTGCATTGTAATTGTGTTTTTTTCCAGTGTTTCATGTGTTTTGTTTTTTTGTTTGTTTGTTTGTTTACACATCAAAATTGCATGTTCCTTTATGGTAGAATTTGTTCTCTCTACAGTGTCAAGTTTAACACACTTTACTCAGCAGACGGTTAATAAATTAGAGATGCTGGCTGACAGGTTTTTTGTTTAAGATGAGTTGTGAAGCATTCAGTGGCTTTTGAAATACACTTTACCCCTCCCTGCAATATCTTGAATATGTATTGGTGATTTCTTAAGAGAACATGCCACTGTAATAGGAAGTTGTTTTTTAGCCTGATGAACAGAATCAGCATTGACTTGCTAAATTCCCAGGACGTAGGTTCTCAATCCTTCTGCTTCCTTCCTTTTTCCTTTTCACACTGAGCTCTTTTTATAGGGTACACTGAGCCCTTAGCTGCCTTCCAGACTGAAGGCATTCATGCAAATCGCACCTTTGGTGACCAACCTCATCTGCTTTTATAATTTCACACACACACACACACACACACACACACACACATACTCCCTTGCACTGGCCTCTGTCTTCTCAGGTCTGAGCAGAGGCAACCTGTGACCTTTTCTTCCACTTTCTGCCCTGAGGCTTCTTTGCCACCATCTGGGATAAGGTTGGGAGCCTCTGAAGTGTTTTAAACAAGCACATACCTGAATGTCCAGGTGAGCTAACTCCCCACAAGACAACCCTTAACACAGGTGCACAGTACTGAGGTGCCTTGTACATGACTCCTCAAAGGGTCCCTAGCAGAATCAAGCTTGTTGCCAAGTGAAGAAATAGTGGAGAAGACCAAGTGATTACAGAGAGGAAGTCACTGGCAGGCAAGTGACTTGGGTTTGAACTGTTCACTTTTCTAGAATGATGGTATCAACGGTCATTAAAGACCAAATGTAGTTCTGTTTCCCAGTAGAAAACCAGACTCTTACTCTTTATCTGGAATCATGAGAGGAAGTTCGGTTTGCATCCAAAGAATTGGGAGCTGTCAAAAGGTTTTATTTAAAAGCTATCTCAAAGTACCTAATTCTTGCATATTGTCAAGTTCTTGAGTGTCTATGGTACAAATTACCAAACCAGTTGCAGGTGGAGCACCATGATATGTAAGATACAGCCCTTATTTCCACCGAATGAGAAGCTAAAATACTTGTACCTACACAAATAATTGGAAGGCTGTTGTTCACAGAAATTAGATCAGGCAATACTAACAGAGTATGTAGCATTTGAGCCAAACAAAGGGTACGCAGGATTGCCCAACACTAACAGCTTGTCTACTCACAGTCCTTATGAAGAGACAGAATAAGGGCATAAAATGCTTGCAAAAGCATAAAGTGCTGCATAAATGCTAGATACTGATAGTGTTAATAATATTGTTTCTGGAATGGCTAATTTATAAGGATAGGCAAGTAAACTTCTAGTAGCATTTGTCATTGATTAAGAATAAACAAGTAACCTAAGTTTTAACTTTTTCACTCCAGTTTTAGAATCTCAGTAAAAAATTTAAACTATTCTTTGTGTTCTCTTTTACTTATGGAATAATTCCCAATCTCAGTTAAAAATATGTTTTTGAACATAAACTCATGCTTGAACATAAGGTTTAACTGCCATTTGAATATATTTAGAGTGTCACCTCAGTATAAAGGGGGATTTCTTAAAATATCTTAAGAGTCTAATATTTTGCCTAGAGTTGTTTCCTTCTGCTAAAGTTAGGAAGTTTTCCCAGTAACAAGAACTCTATATGTGAAGTTACACTGTTTTAAAAATGAAATGCCAAAATAGAATTCCAATATAGTCAAAGATAGAGAAACTGTTCTAAGACCTAGCTCATGATTGCAATTAGGGAAGTAAATCCCATTTCAAGTACAATCAGTGGGCACAATTGGGAGGAATCATGTTGTGTGCTTTCAATATATAGAGTGCATCAGTATGTGTAAAATGTGATAAATTACAGAGCTGTTTCCTGTACCTCATAGGTATTCCAGGAATAAAACTATTAAAGACAGATGGTACACTGAATAGCAAGGTAGTGTAACTTTAAAAATAGTTATTCTGCAGTGTGAGAATATCGTTTTCCGAGCCAGATGCTGGTGGCTCATGCCTGTAATCTCAGCTGCTCATGAAGCAGAGATCAGGAGGATCAAGGTTCAAAGCCAGCCTGAGCAAATAGACCCTAAAAAAAAAAGTATATCATTTTCCAGTGTGAGGAGAAATTTGTTATTAAACTCTAGAATTAAATATGTTATGCTAATGTGCTCAGTCCATTTACATTTTATGGAATAATTTTATTTGTTCTACACTAACTGGCTGGCAGAGAAATTGAACAGTATTTGGCGATATTTTAAAGTTGTAATTCCATCAGAATCTGACTTACAGAATCTAAATAAATATAAATCCAGAAATAAAATATGTTGCGTGCTGTCTTTATCTGTTCTAAGGATTGAAATATAAGCTTTTCCCTACCTCTTCCTCATGTACTTTTCTGAGAAGTCAGTTGTCATTGTTCTGGCAAATTTCTTTTATCCTAAATTGTGCTAATATTTAAAAAGAATACTATGAAAGTTATAATAAAATATATTTTGAAGATAATTTTTTTAAATTACAATAGTAAGAACATAGAAACAATACTGAAATGTGGAAAGTAAAAACTATTTTCAGCGATTGGAGTATATCCTTCCATATCTCCTCCTACACAGGTGTGATAATATTAAGTGCAATGTCTATGAATGGGTATGCGTAACATGAAAAGCACATGCCCTCCCTGATACTTTGTAGCTTTAGTTTTTAACCTATCTCATATTTTCCAAAGGATATCGAGCCTACTATTCTATAAATGAAAAAAGCCTGAACCTATATCAATGCATATGAAATGTACACATAGCTACACGTTTGTGCGTGTATTTTTAACTCACACATTTAATAGATAACATTGAATCTTATCTGTGTACACACATTGTGGAATGGTTACATCTAGCTAATTAACAAATGCATTACTTCATATAGTTATCATTTTGTGGTGATACATAACATTCACTGTCTTTACATTTTTCAGAATACAGTATGTCATCATTGCTATTTAATAGATCTCTTGAAATGTTTTCCTCCAATCTAAGTATAATTATGTGTTCTATAAACCAAGTTCTCCCATCCTCCAACCACCCTGTCTCTAGTAACCACCATTGTATGCTCTACTTCTATGAAATCAATTTTTTAATATTGTACATATGAGTAAGGTCAGCCAGTATTTGTCTTCATGCCTGACTTATTTCACTTAGTTTAATGTTCTCCATGTCCATCCATGTTGTCAAAAATGACAGGATTTTCTTCTTTTCATGGCTGAATATTATACAAGGAGCTGTCAAACTCTTGACATTCTCACAGGATGTATTTTAAGAATTTCCTGACTCAGATGTACCAGTCATTTAATTTCCCCTGTAAATCTCTGTTTAACTTTCACAGTGATTCTCAACTGGGGAGGAGAAGAGAGCACTAACACTCCAACCCCACCACAAAAACATACCAGAATCTTTGAAAGGTCTGTTTCAAAGTTGACAGGTCTTCTTTCCAACCTCTAAGGAGAGCATACCTACCTGGCTGAAAATCACTGCATCTAGCAGATGTTACTAGTTGGGACTATGTTGTATAGGTGGTCTAGGAGCAAACAGACAAGCAAAAAACAGCAATTAATAATACAGACATATATATCTATATAAAATGAAGATTTGTAAGTGGCCAACAGTTGAGTTTTTTGGGTGATGGCATCCTTGTCTTTATTCTCTTTGCTTTTTTATTTATCTCATTATTTCACTGTGAGTCTAAAGGCTGACCTTCCTACCCAATTCACATGAATTCCTGGTAATTATCAGTTAGTGGAGGATAAATAGCAAAGCACAGTAGGGCCATGGAGGGCATTGTATGCATTGGCTCACTTCTGAGATGAGTGTCTTCTACAGGTCAGATTTGTATCCAGGAAAGTTATTATCATGGGCCCTTCAGAGTTCACAGGATTAATTGAAGGTCTGAGAACTAACTATGGGTATCAAATCCAATCCATCATCTTTTATACCATTAAGCCTGGTAGAAAGCCCTTAGGAGTCTGTGATTCTATTAGAGCATTCACCTTACTGCGTACAGTGGAGTGTAAATATCACAATGACAAGGACGTGTGTGTACGGAGGGTTGGTTACATAGTGCTCTCTCGGGCACCTAAGGGTAAGTGAAAAGCCTCAGATGAGATGTACTCATGGGCTTCTCTGAATGTTTAATCTGCAGACCGCAGCTGAATATGTAAAATCTCGACTCCCAGAAGCCCTTAAACAGCATCTTCAAGACTATGAAAAGGACAAAGAAAATAGTGTGTTGTCTTACCAGACCATCCTTGAACAGCAGATTCTGTCAATTGATCGAGAAATGCTTGAAAAATTGACCGTATCCTATGATGAAGCAGGTATGTTTGTTTTCAATACACACACACAGTTTTTTCCCTGCAAAATTTCTTTATAGACCTTGGTTAAATTTTGGCATTTTTCTGAGATAAAAAGTTAAGGACAAACTAGATTCAAAGTTATATAACATAGATTAATAGTAAATTTCTTCTCTTTGGTTTTTAGTATCAAAACTTTTTCAGGAGATTCCAAAAATAGCTCTCAAATATCAAATTCCTTTAAATTTTTGCTCTTTTTAAAATGAAATTTTCCTAGCCATTTATCAACTATATACTCCTAGTGATGTAATATTTTAAAGTGTCACTTCAGTTTTGGTTACAAGCTGAAGTTGTCCGATAATCTAAGACCTGTTATTTGAGTCAAGATTTTTGTGTTTTTTTTTTTTTTAATTTTGGAGATTTTTTTTTCTAAAGCAGTCTTTTTTCCCCCCCACCCCTGAAATTTTTAGATAAATTTGGCTTTCTTTTTCTTAGCAACTAAGATGCAACCTATCCCCTAATATCACACCATAGATTTTGGCTCACTGCATGCCCTAGGTTCATCCAATCCAAGGGAGTTTGTTAGTGAAGTCATAGATAGACCTCATGATGTCATTTTTATCTATTCATATCTATGGGCTAAAGCCCAGTTTTAATGAAATAAGTGCATTATTACTTAGAATTATTAAATTATTTAATAAAATTAAATGTACAGCATAAATATCCTGACTAAATTTGCCATACCTCTCCACCAAAAGGAGGAAGAAGTATAGGAAAACAGGTTGTTTAATGGTCAGATGTTGGTACGAAACCTGTGTTAAGTGTCAGAACTTACGCTTTTATTTTCACTAGGATAGTTTTAGGATGTATCTTATTTTCTTCCTCATAATGTAAGCAGTCATAATGCTAAGATTCTTAACATTTAATTTCAAGCTTGAGTAATAAACAGAAGAGTGAATTTTTTTAAGAAGCCCATAACATTAAGCTACATTTGCCCAACCATTAATGCAGATTTTCTAGTTCCTATGCCATCCCCATTTGCATTCCACCCTGTAACTCCTTCACTTCTCACTCACGCAGGATCCACATTACTCGCCTTGTTCTGGACATTGCAGCTCTTTCTGTTTCTCCTTTGCCTTATTAATTTTCCAGGCATACTGACTTTCTTCTGCCTGATGAGCAGTCTCTGTCTCTCTGTCTCTGGTGCTAGAGATCAAACCCAGAGCATCACATGTCTTACCCTTAATGGAATAAAATATGATTGTGATCAGCCCAATCAAATAGTATTTAGATATTCATATCCTCTTCATGATCATGGAACTTATATATTCCACCCACTTCCTGCCCCCATACCCAATTATGGTAAAAAAAAAAAAAAAAAAAAAAACCTGACATCCATAGACTTACCTGAAATAGTAGTTACTTAGTTGTAAGGCCGAGACTAGTGTCCTAATTGCTAATCAAGCTTTCACCACAACAAGTCAGCTTTTCATTTGCTTAGTAATCATTTGTTAAATACATAGCCATGTACTAGGAAGTTATAAGAAAGAGAAAAGAGCACCGAGAAGATGGGGGAGAATCTGAGATGTAGAAAACATAGGTCTTGTTTTAACACCTAGTTGGGTAGCTAAACCTTACATTAATACATGACCTCTAGAGAAAATGAATACGTATGACCTCTTAAGAAAAATTCCCTAGAAATTTGAGGCTAGATATACCTTGCAATATCCACAAGCTATTAACTTTAAGCTGAAATGTGGCCCCAGGTTAGTGGAAGTGGCTCAAGTTTTTCAAAGACTTCTTTATGGGAAGACATTAATTTAAACTGTGGAGGACAAATGCTGTAAGTGGATTTGTGAAGAGAAGAGGATTTGATTTGTGGAGGGGCACAAGCAGATACCAAAGTGGAATGGACATCAGCCATAACCTCGCATCACCTAGTTTTTCCTTCTTTAAGGATAATTTTTTGCTCTTCTACCCTGTTTTTGAGCAATTGTTGGTCTTCAGAGGTGTACCTGTACTTGTACTTTCTGGGGAAAATACTTTGGCATTGAATTAATCTATCAGTAAACTTGGCATGAAAGTCTAAGTTCCAGGCCTTCCCTCTAGCTCAGTACTGATGTGAGCAAATTAGTATCTTATAACCTGTTGCTTCTTACATAAAAGCAGGCTAATATTTCACATGGGTGTTATAATAATAAAATAGATCAGGTTTGGTCATAAGGTCCTTAGAAATCATATTGCACTAATGCTAGCTAAGAACAGATTTGGATCTTGTCTAGCCTTCAAACCATATTTTAATACTTTAGTATTAGAATACTTTAGTATTCTAATAATACTTTAGTATTATTATTATTACTAAGGATTATTATTCTAATAATACTTTAGTATTCTCAGGGTTTTCTTGGCAAGTTGTGTTTGGGAGGCAGAGAGAAATTTTTAGAAGTGATCTTCAGCAGCTTCGAGAAATGAAGGGGCATCTATTTGGTAAGACACCCAATCTGAACTGAGTTTGACTTTGGTCATTCCTGCATGAGCCGATGCAGATTTTGTGGGGACTGTGTGTACATATGGATGAATGCGTGTCATTGTGCATTGTAAAATCAAAAGGTCACTGCCTCCTCCTCTGAAACTCATATATTATGATTTCAATCAAAGTAAGAGGAGAACAGAAGAAAAAAACATTGCTATAGAAAAGTATTCATCATAATACAAAGAAATTAGGATAGAAAATTGGTAATAGGCTCCAATACCATGGTTATATCCATCCTATACTCATTTGCTTCGACGACTTAGCCTCTTTCCATATTATTCCAGTTTTTACTTTCTCACATTCTTAATTCACCTCTCCCAGTTTTAGGAAGGAGTTCTTAGTTAGGAAGTATCCTGGTCTCTAGACAGGTTAATTTGTCTTTAATGCTCATCCACTGATAAACTGAGTGACTTAATGACAGTTACCACCATCCGTGGCTTCTAAATGTCTGAAAACTAATTAATGAAAAAAATCCTTAGACACTGATCTAAAAATATTGGCTCGGAACTTTTCTTCCCCCCCCTCCGCCTCCCTTTTGTTTCCCTCTGCCTGTGTTCTCTCTCCTTTAAATGCATATAAACTGTAATTCTTTGGTTATCCACAATTCAAATATCCAGCAACCTGAAATTTAGCAAAGAAAAGAGAAGTAACAAAAGCCATACATTTGCAGCTGACCACATCACAGAACTTGTGGACAAGTCTACTCAACAGAGCCTTTAGACTCACCTGGAATCCGTACGTTTTTACTTTATGTAGTTCTGTTCTGACTAGCTAGGTTATAGTTTCCATTTTGATATTTTCTTTTTAAAAATTATTTTTCTGACTTTAAGTGTTATACTTTAATTGAAGAAATAAGTAAAAGATGTAAATAAGTACAATAAGAGAATAATTAATAATTATTGTAATAATAGAATAGTACTTATTTTAGTAATCTTACCATTGCAGACATTTTTGGTATATTTCTCTCATGCTAAGCATTTTTCTTTTTCTTTTTTTTTTTTTTGGTGGTAGTTCTGGGGTTTGAACTCAAGGTTTCATGCTTGCTAGGCAAAAACTCTCTATGACTTGAGCCATGCCTCCAGTCCAGCATTTTAAAAATGTGATTGATATCTTGTAGCTTTATGTCTGCTTTTTCACTTAACATTGCTTCATAAGCACTTCCTAATTTTTTTTTTCATGTTTTAAACTTCTTTTTTTTTTTCATTTATTCACATGTGCATACATTGTTTGGGTCATTTCTCCCCCTGTCCTCCTCCCCCACCCTCTCCCCACACCTCCCTCCCTACCAGGCAGAACCTGTTCTGCCCTTATCACTAATTTTGTTGAAGAAAAGATGCATAATAAGGAAGACAAAGCATTTTTGCTAATTGAGTTAAGGACAGCTATACAGAGAGATTCTTAACATTGCTTTCATGCACCCATGTGTTACGACCCATGTTGATTCATCTCTAACTGATCTTTACACTGGTTCCTGATCCCCTTCTTGTGTTGACCTGTGTCGCTTTAAGGTTTCTGTATTAATTCCTCTGGAGTGGGGACATCAAATGCTTTCATCTTTTGGGTACACTTCCTAATTTCATTAAAACTTCTTTGTGTAAAAATAATTTTAACGGCTACAGAATACAGAATATACTGTCTAAATATTCTCCTATGTAGGACATTTATAGTTTTTATTTTGGTTTTGCTATTATGAGTAATTTTACAAGAAATATGGTGTGCATTTGATATTACTCTAGAGAATAGACTTTAGAAATGTAAGAGTTTAGAATTAGAATGGAAGATAGGGTAAGGGAATGATATCTTGCGGCAGTAACACCGAGAATAGCAAGGGACAAGAACAAAGAGAAAACGAGTGAAAGGCAGTTATCAAGTCCCCAGCATTGCATTACATACAAAGTCACATCAGCATCCAAGACTCTGTATTATAAGTTGACATCACTGATCTTTTTTATTTTTATTATTATTTTTTATTCTATTATTGTGCTAGGAGGTGAAGAACATTTATGAATGTTCTGATATCATAATTGAATTCACCCATCCATCCTTCTCCTTTACTTCCCCTCCCCCATTCTTAGAATAGTTTCAACAGGTCTCATTTTTCTATTTTCATACATGAGTACAAAATATTTCCATCATATTCACCTTTCTACATACTTTCCTTCCCCCTCCCACTGGTACCAGCCCCTAGACAGGACCTGTTTTATCTTACTATTCTGTTTCTTTAAAAAAGGCATTTTTGTTTGTTTAAGATAGCTATATAGGGAGTTTTATTATGACATTTCCATGTATATCTTGACTCACAGAGAGAAGATTCAATGATGTTATTATAGTGTCTATAAAAGCAGGAATTATGTAGACCTGTGGCTTAGTCCATTCAGGTTGCTATAACAAAATACCATAGACTGGGTGGCTTTATGAACAGTAGAAATTTATTTCTTACAGTACAGAAAACTAGAAAGTCAAAGACTAAGGCGCTAGTAGATTCAGTGTCTCATTGTAGACAGCTCTTTTCTCTGTAACCTTACATGGCAGGGGTGAGGGATCTCT